TAAGTACTAAAATTGAAAGGACAAAGATATGGCCAAACTTAGAAAAGAGATGCTGATGCAATTCAAACTGAAACATTGTTTGGTAATTGGGTCATATTTGAAGTTCTAGATCTCAGATTTAGATCCAATTTATATGGATGGAAAATTAAAACATAAGTCTATATCTTTCATGTGAAAGTCTATTTTAATAAGGCTATTTTTAAGTTCAAATTGTAGCAATAACGAAAAAGTTTGAATCTGTCCAGCAATCCATATACTGTTTAGTGTTCAGCTTATATCTAAGGTTATAGAAGTCCAAATAACCTCCATTTTTTTTTATGGAAAGATAAGATAATTTCCTACAACTTTCATGTGGAGGTCTGGTTCAAATTCTGATGTTATCAAATGATATTTTGGGCAAACAATAACAGACAAGGATTCTCACCAAGTCAAGAGCTGACCACCCACTCATCAATTAGTTATCAAATCAATAGTTATCAATTTTGACATATAAAAGGAGGCATTTGCTATGTATTTATACATCTTAATTTCCAAATAAAGATCATGCTCTTACTTTCTCTCTTTGTATTACTTAAGTTTTGCTTTCATTAATATGAAGTTTATGTCTTTCAATTCCTTTCCTTTACTTAGTTAACTTTTATATTATTTATTTTCTTATTTTGTTTATTTATATTTCTTTCTTTCATTATGTTTAGCTAAGTTTATTGTGTCAAGGTGAAAAGGTTACATTAATGGTGTAAGAATAAATATTATATAAACTTAACATGGACCTTTATTGGAGAATATAAAATTGAAAGAGCCTTACTTGATCTTGGAGCGAGTGTGAATTTACTTTCATATTCAGGTTTTTAGAGTCTCAATCTAGGTGAGTTAAAACTAACTTTTGTAACACTTTTACTTGCCGATAGATCTGTAAAAGTGCTTAGAGGAATAATTGAAGATGTGTTAATACAAGTTGATAAATTCATTTATCCCGTGGATTTTATTATCTTGGAGACACAATATGTTAAAAGCATGTAATTCATTTCCTATTATTTTAGGACATCCTTTTCTTGCAACTTCTAATGCATTGATTAATTGTAAGAATGGACTGATGAAGCTATTGACACGACTAAAAGATTGATGTCTTCTCCCAAGTGCAGGAGTGTCGAAGTAATAAATAACCCGGCAAGACCGGGGTCGAACCACAAGGAGGTTAATTGTACAAATTATAAACAACAATTATAAAACAACAATAACAACAACAATCAGGAAAAATCAAAGACAAATAGTTGGAGATCAAAAATTGAAAAATTATCACCACGATCAATTCGGTCCATTCCCTTAAGTGTCCAACCTCTTAAACCTGATTTGAAGCCATTACCATTCAATCTCAAATATTCATTTTTGGAATAAAATGAAACTTTTCTGGTAATAATCTCTTTCAAACTTAATGCATATCAAGAAGGTAAGTTGTTACAAATTGTGAAAATGCACAAAAATGCATTAGGATGGACCATAGCTAACATAAAAGAAATTAGTCCTTTGATTTACGTACACATATGATTTATTTAGAGGAAAATATTAAACCCTCTAGAGAAATGCAACAAAGACTTAATTCTAATATGAAAAAAATAGTGAAAAATGAAGTCATTAAGCTTCTAGATAATGAAATCATTTATCCTATTTCTGACAGCAAATGGGTAAGTCCTACCCAAGTTGTACCCAAGAAGTCTGGAGTCACTATGATAACAAATGAGAACAATGAGTTAATTCCCACTAGAACTGTTACTGGTTGGCGCATGTGCATGTAGAATTATTACTGGTTGACGTATGTGCATTGAGTATAGGAAACTTAATTCAATGACTAGAAAAGATCATTTTCCTTTACCTTTCATGGATCAAATCCTAGAAAGAGTTGCAGGTCATGAATTTTATTGTTTCCTAGATGGCTATTCGGGTTACAACCAAATTGAAATTGCATTGGAAGATCAAGAAAAGACTACTTTCACATGTCCATTTAGTACTTTTGCATATCGAAGGATGCCTTTGGGATTATGTAATACCCCAGCCACATTTCAAAGATGCATGCTCTATATATTTAGTGATATGGTTAAACATTTTTTTTAGATTTTTATGGATGATTTTTCTATTTTTAGCGATTCATTTTATGATTGTTTGACTAACTTAGAAAAGGTTTTGAGTAGGTTTGAAGAGAAGAATCTTGTATTAAATTAAGAAAAATGCACTTTATGGTAACAAATGACATTGTACTTGGTCACATTGTTTCATCAAAAGGAATTGAGGTTGACAAATCTAAAATCGAGTTAATTGCAAACTTGCCAACACCAAAATCTCTTAAAGATGTTAGATCATTCCTGGGACATGCTGGTTTTTATAGAAGGTTCATCAAAGATTTTAGTGTAATATCTAAGCCTTTAAGTAACCTTCTAACAAAGGATACTATTTTTGAATGGACTAAATGGACTGAACATTGTGAATAAACCTTTATTAAAATTAAAAAGTTGCTTACTTCTGCTTTTGTCATTCAACCTCCTGATTAGTCATTACCTTTTGAAATAATGTATGATGCTAGTGATTATGCCGTAGGTGCTGTTTTGGGACAAAGAAAAGATAAGAAACCTTATGTAATTTACTATGCAAGTAAAACTTTAAATAGTACTCAAATGAAGTATACCACCACTGAAAAAGAATTACTTGCAGTAGTATTTGCATGTGAAAAATTCAGATCTTATCTTGTTGGCTCACCTGTTGTTGTTTTTAGTGATCATGCAGCATTGAAATATCTTCTTTCTAAGAAAGATTCCAAGGCTAGATTGGTGCGGTGGATTTTATTACTTCAAGAATTTGATATCACAATCAAAGATAAGAAAGGCAGCGAAAATGTAAAAATGTTGTCGCTAATCATTTGTCAAGTGATTAGTACTTAAAAGTGCATTTTTATCATGGTTTTATATCATCATTTTGCACTTGAAGTATCAATAACTCCTTAACCAAAACATGTTTTATAATAATATATCTAATAATACAAGATACCTTTAATTTGTGGTAAATGTCTATTTTTAATGCAGGCCTATCACATAAATGAAAGGATTGATTGATGACTTGAAGAACTTAAATTGCAAGGATAAAGAGATGGCCAAACTTAGAAACGATTTGGAATCTTTCGAGCCATGATAGGTGATGGTGTAACACATTTCTACAACAAGTCATTCGATTCTTTAATGAAGAAATATGTAATCACACATAAAGTTGTCACCTTTTATCACCCTTAAACAAGTGGACAAATAGAGTTTGCTAATAGGAAGATCAAATAGATCTTGGAGAAAACAGTGAACCCTAATAGGAAAGACTGGTCTTTAAGACTTAATGATGCACTTTAGGCTTATCAAACTACTTATAAAGCATCATTAGGTATGTCACCTTATAGACTAGTCTATGGAAAACCTTGTCACTTGCCTGTGGAACTTGAACATAAAGCTTATTGGGCTATTAAAGCTTTCAATTCAAATCTGGATGATGCTAGTCAACTGCGAAAATTACAAATAAATGAGCTTGAGGAAATAAGAAATGATGCATATGAAAATTCAAGAATTCATAAAGCAAGAATAAAAGAATTTCATGACAAGAAAATACATAGAAAAACCTTCAATGTTGGTCAAAAAGTCTTGCTTTATAATTCTCGACTGCATTTATTTCCTGGAAAATTAAGATCAAGATGGAGTGGTCCTTTTATTGTGAAACATGTGTATCCATATGGGGCCTATGACATCGAGAATCCAAAGAATGGCAATGTTTTCAAGGTAAATGGACATCGTCTGAAAGTTTACTTTGACAATTTTTCAGTTGAACATAACTCTATTGAATTGGGTGATCCTGTATATAAAGATTGATTTTATTTTATTTTATTTTACTTTATTTTTGTTTCTTATATAAATATTGATTTTATTTTATTTTATTTTTGTTTCTTATATAAATATTGATTTTATTTTATTTTATTTTTGTTTCTTTTTGAGTGATTTTTGCAAGTTTCTTCACCCCGGTCAAATGGCGGATAACGGTACTCCGTGACTTAAGTCGGTTCTTTCAGTTTCCCACAATTACTGATATCTGTGTATATATCTGTGCAATTCTTTGAATCTCTCTTCCAATTCTCATTTGAAAATGGACACTAATCTTGAAAAATTGAAAAAGTATTTTCCCGCTCTGCCTCAGAATGCGATTACAAAAATTTACCGTGCTAGATGTGCAAGATTGAGATTATTAATGAATCATGGAATTCCTGAAGATATTCGTTGGTTGATTGAAGCAAAGGTCCGATTATCAGGTGAGTCCTCTAACTTCATTTCACACATGCCTGGAACAGGTAAAAGCACTTTTGCAAAGAAGCGTCGTGCAAAACGACTGGATGTCTGTCATCGATGTGCTAGATGGACTTGTAATACACAATGTCGTTCTTTAGGAATGGTATCTATAAACCGTGAAGATAAAATACAATTCATTAAGGATGGCCTGAGTAAGGAGTCTTTAGATAATCTTCTATTGACTCTTGAGACGCATCCTAGTGGAGATGTGCATCGTGCAATTCATGATTTATGGCCACTATTTCATAAAGAACATGATAGACTTAGTCTTGGGAATCTGACTAAAAAAGACCCTGTTTGCCAGTTTTTAAGAAAACTGGATGGGAAGCCTATCCCCGACCCATAGAGGGCGTTTAAGCCGTTCTTGGACGTAAAACCAAGGGAAGATGTGAGCCACAATCACAACTACCTGTACATACACATGCTTGGTTTTATTATTGTGTTTTGTTGTTTCTTATATTTGTTTCAGTGTGTTTCAGGTTTGTCAGTGTTCGTTATTTCAGGTGATATCTTCTATACTCTATCTTTCTACCTTAGAACATTGAGGACAATGTCTCGTTTTGGTTGGGGGGAGAGGGTAGTAGTTGATAAAAAAAAAATTGTTTTTCATTTCATAAAGCATGTGCATAATTGTTGTTACTAGGATGGCAGAGTAAAGGAGTTCTTTTGTTAAAGTGACTCTTGAGACGCATCTTAGTAACCATTCTTAACAAGGTCTATTATAATACTTCCTGAAATATTCAGGTTTACAAACTCTCGTATTGTTACCACTTAATTCTGCTCATATACTTATTTAACATGTATTTTTAAACCTTAATTTACACACACACACTTTAACATATGATTGTGGGTTGCATATTGGATTATTACATTATTTATGTTCTTTTGTTAAAGGTAACAACTAAGGGAAAGGGATTGTATATAATTAAAAAGAAAAAAAAAAAAAAAAAAAAAAAAAAAAAAAAAAAAAAAAAAAAAAAAAAAAAAAAAAAGAAAAAAAGAAAAAAAAATGATGATAATAAAAATGTAGATAAGTTTGGTTTCGTAGCCTCCCTAACCTAAGCAATTAAGCCCGAAGGGGTGTTTTAACACCTAATACCCTAAAGTCAACTGACTTGGGAGCTATTGGCCCAACGCTTGTTACATGGGTTGAGGAGAAAAGCTTAAGGGAATCAAACATTGCACTATCTACATATCAGTATCTGCGACCCGAGTTACTAAGCTCGTAGGGGTGTCTTAACACCTAATGCCCTAAGACCAACTGGTCTGGGAGTCATTAGCTGAAAGCTCATTACATGGGTTAAAGATGCATGATGTTTTTAAAGTATATGTATATAGAGTTAAAAAAAAAAAAAAAGACAAAAATAGTAATCCCAACCCAAGGAAGTTAACCTTAAACATTAGAACAAAAATTTTGTTTTCTTCCAAGAAAAGCCCCATAATTATGTGTTGATACATTGAGCACAAAAGAAAGGTTTATTAATATCTTGTTAAGAGGTATTGAGCAGATATATAAATTTAATGAGAGTTTGTTTATCTGGATAGACTAATGGAAGTTAAATGATGAATACCTTGCTTTGTGAAATTTGCAAATTTGTTTTCTATTTTAACGCTTTGATTACTAGGGACTAGTAATAAGCTGGTTGGGGGGTGTGATTAGTACTTAAAAGTGCATTTTTATCATGGTTTTATATCATCATTTTGCACTTGAAGTATCAATAACTCCTTAACTAAAATATGTTTTATAATAATGTATCTAATAATATAAGATACCTATAATTTATGGTAAATGTCTATTTTTAATGCAGGCCTATCACATAAATGAAAGGATTGATTGATGACTTGAAGAACTTAAATTGCAAGGATAAAGAGATGGCCAAACTTAGAAAAGAGATGTCGGTGCAATCCAAACCGGAACACTGTTCGGTAATTGGGTCATATCTGGAGCTACAGATCTCAGATTTAGGTCCAATTTATATGGATGGAAAGGTAAGACATAGGCCTACAACTTTCATATGGAGCCCAAGATCTAAAAAGGCCATTATCAAGTCCAAATTGTAGCAACAACAAAGAAGCCCGAATCTGTCTTCCAGCCCGAGCACTATTCGGTATTTTGGCCATATCTGGAGTTCTAGAAGTCCAAATGAGCTGAAATTTTTACACAAGAAAGCTGAGACAATTGCCTACAACTTTCATGTTTACAACTGGCTCCAATTTTGACGTTATCAATGACGTTTTGGGCAGACAAGAGAAGATAAGGATTGTCACCAAGTCAAAAGTTGGTCACCCACTTATCAATTAGTCATCAAATCAATAGTTCCCATTTTTGGCCTATAAAAGGAGGCATTTGCCATGCATTTAGGCATCTTGATTTCCAGATCAAGATCATGCTCTTCCTTTCTCTCTTTGTATTTTTTATGCTTTGTTTTCATTAATATTAAGTTTATGCCTTTCATTTCCTTTCCTTTACTTAGTTAACTTTTATGTTCTTATTTTGTTTATCTATTTTGCTTTCTTTCATTATGTCTAGCTAAGTTAATTATGTCAAGGTGAAAAGGTTACACTAATGGTGTAAGAATAAGTATAATGTAAACTTAATATGGACTTTAATGTTTGATACTAACATGTTTTATATTTGCTATCTTGTTCACTCTTTAATACTTTGCTTGTTAAATGACTAATCTTGATTTATGTTGTATAACACTTGGTACAACAAATGCTTGGCACTTTCATAGCCCATAATGTATGGTATAACCGACACCTGAGCTATGAAAGGAACTTGATTTGTTGTTAACATAAGTTATAATCATGAATGCTTGACGAGATTTACAAGTATTAGCATTAATTGAATAAGATGACTAATGTAATCATGTTAACAATATATAATCTGATTGGAACCTCCTTTGTGTGTGGTTTCCAATTCAATAATAAGAGTTTATACTATACTTGTTTGATATACCATTAGTGGAACCTCTAACCTTGACATTTGTTATTATCATTGTTTAATCGTTACATTAATATTCCATCTCAAAGTTCTCATCATCTTCTTCTTCTTCTCTTTCTTTATTATTATTATTATTACTACTACTACTACTACTACTACTACTACTACTACTACTACTACTACTACTACTACTACTACTACTACTACTACTACTACTACTACTACTACTACTACTACTACTACTACTACTACTACTACTACTACTACTACTACTACTACTACTACTACTACTACTACTACTACTACTACTACTACTA